GGGGGGGGGGGGGATCCCAAGGAAGAAGAGACCCCATTTCGTATTCCTCGAGCATCCCTCTTGATCTCCCCGCATTTTTATTGCACTTGCCGCCGGTAAGAATATGTTTTATTTATATTTCATATTTTTCCCTTTCTCTCTTGCCTCCCGACGAGCCGCACGGAGTCAGAGACGGACGCGGCCCACTGTCGTGGATTCACACGAGCTGACCACGAAATATGAAGTCGAGATACGAAATCCCCGCGCGTGTCCCCGGAGAAACAAGCCGAATAAACGCGTATAACCCCCCGTGACCGCCCGTAACGTTCCCCTAGCGTTCACTCTTATTTTCGAACGAACCGGGGTCGCCGCTAGCCGGCCGTGGTGAAAATATTTTGGCAATCTCCCCGCGGAAAGTATTTATGTGCGTTCGCTGTGGCGACCGTGTGGACCCATTACTTCCCAAGGCTTTATTGGAATACAGCATTAATAGAATTCCCTACCCTCTCTCTCTCTCTCTCTCTCTCTCTGTAAGTTTACGAATAATTGAATCGAAGCGGTAGCACGAAGAGAGTTTACGATGCAAATAAATTTGGCGGCAAATTTCTGAGGCTCTGTCGCGAGTATAAAAAAAAAAGTCGTGACAGTTGCGAAAAGGATGATGCATCTAAACGGGTCCGATGAATCTTGCTTTTACAGTCCGAATTTAATTCACTGTCGTCTGATTGAGGCGGAGGGTGTTACACGCAATTTGCTACGTATCGCCGTGATAACTTCGGCGAACCCTTCGGCGTGTTTTATGGGTATCACACTGAATATGTATAACTCACGGCCCAATGCGTAAATTTTCGTATAGCGAGAACTTTCTCCGACCAAGAATTCGTGAAACGTGACAAAACAATGAAACGCGATCTCCTCAATTTATTGTCAAACGGGGCGCGTCAATGACGCAGCACGAAAACAAAATTACACAAATAAAATAATATAATAATGGTGGTATAGAATTAAATTAAATAATATAATAATATGATATATAATTACCCTGGTTTCTCCAAACTATGACACCGTATGATGTTTCAATAGGGCTAATAAATTTTGACAAGCTAATCATTAATGGCGAATTTTAACTGTTACATTATGCGAATTATTTAATTCTCCATCTTAGCGAAAATTTAATTTTATATATTGATTACACTTCACTTATTTCCTTTTCACTCGCGACGCGATTTTTTAAATAACGTATAACGACTGGACGGAACGTACGAGAAATTCCTTCATTTCGAAACATGCGCGGAAAACATACGTTAAAAAAATCGTGAATCGAAGATCGGTACGGCATGCTTGACAAAATCAATAGAAAGAAAAAAAATGTTTCGTTTCGCGGATGGTTATATTTTTCGAAGAAAAGATTCACGTTTCGCAAGATTCCTATGAAGGAGAATAAATATTTATGTCGAGTTCAGTTATCGTTTTCATCGAGCTTGTTTGTGACGGGTTATGTCATTCTACTACACACTCGCGGCGCGAATCGCACGTAGAAAATCGTTAATGAAAACCACATTAAAGCAAGATAAACGCGACGTGAGTTAAAGAATAATCAAGAAATCTGTCAACGCGAAAAGCGAGATAATTGCGAGTTGAATGAGATTCTCGCGTATAATACCTGTGCGAAGGCTGCTCTGCGACATTGTGCAGAAATTACTTCGCATATATTTTTGCGAAGGTTACTTCGCAATGTCTCTGTGTGCGAAGCACTTCAAGTGAATCAAGTCCGCCAACGATTATAGCATCTTCTTAAATCAACATTTACATGCAAGGAAGCAAAAGAGCAACATCTGTCGGTCCGTAGGAACCAAAATCTGCCAGGTCGTGAAAATTTATAACAGGCAATGGATTTATGTTCGAGTGCCTGCAATCCGCGAGATGTCGCTAGCGACTTTAATTCTTTACAATTCAAAAATTACTAGAACCATATATTTCTAATCGTATATTAGGGTTTTCGATTCCAATTAAAAATTCTTGTAAGCTCAGTATATTAACGCATCATTAGAAATATTGTATGATATTTTTCGTATATCCTACATTCTGTCTCTTACCTTTGTTATTATTGTACGTTCATAAAACGTGAGAAAAATATCTCGAAACGTTCTTTAATGGTGGAGATGCCTCGTCGAGGATGCGATGTTTTCCTGCCCTCCCGACGAATGCTCTTATCTTAGCTTTTTCTGCAATGATCGTTAAGATATCCATCATAACCGTGTGAAAGTGCAAAAAGTCGGTGGAGTTGTTCGGTACGGTGCACGTGAGTTGAAAGTGCTACGAGTAATTTCACGACGTGTACGTGACGAGGTCGCTGATATCCCGTTTACGCTTTTGATACGCACGCGGTTCGCGCACAAAGTGCGCGTATGCGTGGGAATTTTGGATAATTTGATAAGTACTCACGTGGATTACGAGGATTCTCCACGAGCGGAGCTAGTCTTCTTTATTCCGATCGTACGTACGTCTCGTCATGATTTCTGATTCTATTTCACCTTTGATAGATACCGCTCCTAAAATTCGAAAGACGTATGAAGAGTTTTAAGGAGTTTCTGATATTTTGCAGAACAGTCGGATCGTAAAGATACATTTCTTCGAGAAATTTAATATTAAATCCCACTACTTCAAACGTCTCGAGCGTGTGCTTTTCAAGAAAATAATTTTTTTTCAACAAATATTCTTGAAAGGTTGTTTTAATATTCTTGAAAGGTTGTTACGCACACATCGTATATGTGTAACACCTTCTATTCATGTATTTTTATTATATTAAATTAAAAGTAATATATATATGTATATATGTACACACACACACACACACACACACACACACACACATTGAGTTTCAATATTCATAAAATTTGCACGCAACGTCGACGCATGCGTCTTTATTACTAAAGACGTGTTCGAATGGGTCACGTGATTTCGCTGCCCGCGCTGGTTAGTTTCGATAAGACGTAGTGACTTACCGACGTGAAAGAAAGTTTTGCGCACGAAACCGATGCATGCTGGTGACTCACTGCAAACAGTAATAGAAATAATGTTATTACCTTTTCCGTATATATAGGTAAGGAGATTATCACATTATCCCGAGGCGAAGATAGAAGCAAGTTCAAGAAAAGTTTGTCTCGCGTGTTCACGTACAGTAATATGTGTGTGTGTTCCACAGGTGTTGATTGATGATTGCGATTTACGTCATTGTTGCTGTTATCGGATTATTTATTTACACGTTCATTAAAGTCAACATCAACGAGCGGCTAGTTGATTTAAGGTGAGCATAGCTAAACGCTATACACTTTATAGGTTAGTTTCTGAATATCAGATGTAGAAACTAAATACAATTTCCTCAACTGATACAAAAACTCCTGCATTTTAAACAGTTTCACGTTGCTAAAATTTCTGTTGAACAAAGCATTGAATTTTTTACTTATGTAATTGTTTTTTTTTGTGTGTATTTCATTTCAGTATGAGTCGATTGTCTTTGAAGAGGAATCGTGAGTATGACACAAATCACATAGAAATGTCAGATGATGAAAGTTTTGATGCATTGCCAAGCTCAAGGAAAAGGACAAATCATAATGAGTTCACAAACAGGACAAGCCATAACACAATTAATGCCCCAAACAGTTTGATAGATACTTCTAATTGTGAACCTACTGTTTATACATCCAGTTCAAGATTTGTACACGATATATCAGATGATTTAAGTAGTGACGATGATGATGATGTTATCATCAAAGGAATTCCTACTACCTCTGGTAGTAGACAACAATCAATGTTTCACTGGAATAAGAATTTAACAAGTATACCGCAATATCAAAACACTTACTCCAAAACTGGCATCTCGCTTGATTCAAATTTCACAGAGGAAATACCTGCAGAATCATGTGATAACAAGAAACAAGTGACAATTAATCTAAATAGCTCAGATGATGACGATGATAACAACCTGATTAACTTGAACGATCCAACAAGGGAGGCTTCGCCACCTAAAGTTACAATACATTATGATGAAATGATCGCTGGTGTCCCAGTCAAATTCCCTGTCAAACCATATCTGTGTCAAAAAGCTGTGATGAACAATGTTAGTATTACAATTATATAGTCGGTGCTTGTTTATTATTCTTCATCACAAATTTGGTTTCTAATCATATTGGAAATTATATGCGCAGCTTATCAGAGGATGCACTAGAGAGGAGAACTGTCTTATAGAGAGTCCAACTGGCAGTGGCAAGACACTGGCACTTCTTTGTGGAGCTTTAGCATGGCAGGAGCAGTATAGTGGTAAGTCTGTGACGCATGTTACATATTAGATTCTAGCGATAACTTCAACTTCAACATTTGGCTTATTACATTATCAAGACTTTTACACACTTCTTAGCTGTATTGATGATCATCAAGTCTCACAATGATAGTTTGACAAGGTTAAAATAATCTGTAGGTTCTCAGTCGTCCACTTCACAAATTATATTAATATATTAAAAAAAAAAAAAAAAAAAAAAAAATCCACCTGCGCCTTCTTTTTATACGTGGTTGAATGACGCATGCTTTCACGCGATCCATCATATGATATTCATTAATTTCTTACCAATCGTGCTCATGCAGCGCTTTCTGCGCCGTGATTATGTCTGTCTCTAAGATTTATCGCGGAGCTTCGCGAAAATCTCGTTTCCTCGTCGTGCCGCGTCTCGTGACAGCGGATCGTTAACGTCACCCGTCCGACTTTTGTCTCGCCATATGTATACATATATACATTTATACATACATATGTACATAGAAACACACATATACATACATATGTATGTATGTATGTATGTATATATGTATATATGTATGTATGTACGCACACACACGCACACTCGTCGTATCTATCAGATTTTTTTACTGCCATGCGAATTTTGGAAATTATTAGGAAAACTCAACCCATCGCGCTTGTCTCCTTCTTGCCTCGCGGCGAAGTATCGTTCTTATTAAAGTTTCCCCGAAGTTCGTCGACATTTTACTTGCCTCGTCAGAACTTTAAAAGTCTTCCGGACAATTTCTCACCGTGTCATCGCGGGATACCAGGCGTGTTCGTCACGTTTATCCAAACGTCCGCCGATTAATTGCGCCGTTTTATTCAACAATTTATGTTATCGTCATATTTTTTGCCGTTATACCTGCGCCGTTAAAATTCGTTCCGAAAAACGTCCTCCATAAATGAGAGCTCGCGAACAGGCGTGAGAACGTGCATATCGAAATATACGCATTCTTGTTTTGTGCGCACAAATTTATGCATCGCGTTTTGCGTTTAACCCGTTAACGCGGCTGAAATCAAATATCATTTCGCATTTATATGATTTTTTTAGTGAAAGGCCATAAAAATTAATGCAGCTTGCGATTCGTAAATATGTATTGCGCGTATCAATTCCCACACATGCGTGTCGCGTTGCAACCGAGCGGTGGTGGCGGTGGGGTTCGATCGTGTTTCGTTGTAAAGCGGGAAAGACGCGGAGGCCCTCGTTTCATCCTCATCGAGAAAGCCTGTTCCCGATCGTTAGCCTTTCTCGGCTATGATATTAATTTGAATTATTCAACCGTTTATATACGCCGCCGTAATAAGCCTCGGTACGACCGAAAGTCGCCAGTGATTTCGACTCTGCACGCGTGCATGCAGCTAATTGTTCGAGATTCGTGCAATTTCTAAACAATTAGATTTGCCTTCGCAAATGCGCCTCTCGTCCCGTTCATGCTCGTACCAGCCTACGAGAAGCGGTGGGACACGACCGAATATAATCGCTTTTCATTAGGACAACGTGACGAGAATATCACTCTGCTCGATGCCATGTTTGATTTTTCCCACATTTATGCATGTGTATTGCGCAAGTGTTTGGCGTTAACATCTGTGTTGGTGTTTGTGGCACTTGTTAAAGGAATGCATGTCGAAACTTGGTAATATCTCAATAGCTGATTCGAACTTAGTCCAAAAGTTCGCCGTTTTGCTGCCATTACTAAGAGTTAGCTGTTACATGTAAAATGCATTCACCGCGAGGCAAAAATTTATTAGCTGGAATTGAAAGCGCACATTATATAACCGCCCTCTATTTCAAAGAAATAACATAGCTGCTACATCTTAATTCCTTTCGCTCATTCTTTTCCCGCTCATTGTTTTTCACGCTATTATACGTATGTCGCAACTTTGGAATTTTCATGTCTCGCGAGAAAACGCCTTTTTTTCGCCGGAATGCGATTGTCTTGGCTCAACGCCGTCTTATGCGTAAGGGTCGTATTGTAGTTTACGATGCACGATCCATTACTTCCCATCGATGACGATGCTTATACCGTCGGAAAGTTTCGACGGATACGTGTTTTCGCGGCTATTGCCTGCCAAGTTCTCTACGAAAGCGAGGCCGAATTAGCCGGGATCGTTCGCGAAATCAGTGGGGTGGTTTATCGTTGTCGATACCATCTTGATATTCTGCCGCCGGGAAACCGTGACGAATGTCGACCACGTCGAGGGATAATTGTGTAACGTAATACGAAAGCGATGTTTGTTGCTCACCAGGGAAACTGCTTTGTCGAATTTGAACAATCAAGATCGAGGAATATATTTCTCGTGTCTCTCTCTCTCTTTTTTTTACGCTAAATCCTCTCGAATACGATACGATATCATTCGGCTGCATTATACGATCGAGTCCCGCAAGATACTGGCCGACTATTCATCGAACATTGCGATACAACAGCGTTACATTCGACTCGGTCGAAACGTTGCTTTCGAGTGCATCGCGACAGTGAGACTGTAAACGTCGCGATATATTCGACGAGGCGAACGATCGCGTGTCATTTCGAGCTGCACGAGCGGTGAATTAAATGTTCCGCGATGTTAACGTCAAATTTGCGTGAGCAACGTCGGATCTGCTGGCTGCGCGGAGGACGACGGTAGAACGGACAGGACGTCCCCAGGAATATACCGGAAAGGACAGCACGAACCGTCGTCGCCTTCCGGAATTACGGATGGTTCCTCCCGGCTTCATCCTCGTCGTGACATCGCGTTGCGAGCTGGGGAATTATCGGGCACGCGGAAGCTTCTCCTCTTCTGCGACGATACTTTAACGAAGGGACGGTCGAGGCAACTCCTCGTGTCTTGTAAAGTTTCCCACAGATACCGCTTTTAATCGTAATAAATAACAGAGTGGCCGCAGCAGCGGCGACAACAATCAACAATGTGACACTTGCTCACATTGCTATAACAAGCAAAGTGCATAAATATACGATGAACTATAAGCTGGAAGAACATAAAGGGAGTACGAGAAGAACGATTCTAATTTTAATTCGGTCTATAAGAAGTCACATGAATCTATCGGAACGGAGAGAATGCTGAGAACTTCTTTAAGTAAACGCGTAAATAAAGATCGGCGCTTTACATAGCCGCGCGTCGTACACCGGGTATAAAATGTACCTTCGGCAAAATATACGGTCGCGTAAGGGTAGGCAACTATTCATTATTTTACAATCCGCTCCAGCTCGGTCGATGCGTATTCCTAATTAGTCAAATTAGAATGAAATGACTCGATGGAGATTAGTCATGATACCGATTTTCGTTGTGTGGCGGGGGGAGGGGGGAGAGATACGTAGGTGCGCCCCGCACGACATCCTGCTTTCCCAGTTATAATTTGCTTTATACCTTTAAACCCGGGCGCCGTCACGCTCCGCCGGAGGTCGAGTGGTACTGCTAGCCGCCAAACTGTAAACTTAGCCCGCTCCTCGTTGGAGAGTCGCATAAATTAGGTCCTTGAAAGGGGAAATTGAGGATTTTCTAGCGTCGCGGTTTAATCGATATCGCGTCGCCGTTGGTGATTCTTTACCCCCCCCCCCC